GAGCCGCGCGGGCTGCGAGTGCGGCGGCGCGCGCGGCGGCGGCGCGGCGAAGGCAGGGGGCGCCCCGCGCAGCGACGACGCGAGGGGGGACGCGCCGGCGGCGGTTGCGGTGCCTGAGGAGAGGGGCACGGGGCGCGGTGGGTCGCGGGTGGTGAGTAAAGATCCAGCCTGAGGAAAGGTGAGGGGGACAGAGATAGGGCACTCGTGTACTTGCAGCTCTTCACACGTGACGACGGGTGGCGATGCCGCGAGCAGCGCACACGGCTCAAAAGCTGTCCGCCAAGCGGGCGCACCCCACGCCGCCCCGCGGCGCACGCACTTGCAGACGAGTCGAGCCGCATGAGCTGGGAGGGGCGCGGCGCGCCACAGCGCAGGCCGAGCTCGAGTTCGTCCAGCGCCGCGGCCGTCAGTGCGTGCGCCGCGCCGCCGCGCAGGCCCGCGCCGCTGCCGCCGCCGCCCCCAAACGGGCCGTCGCAGCACCAGCTGTCCTCCAGTGAATCCTCCAGCGACATGCCCCCCGAGCAGTCCGCCGACGGCGTGCCGGGCAGCAGCAGCGCCGGCCCGGCGCCGGCGCCCGCCAGCGTGGCGGCGCGCGCGTGCGCGGGCGTGGGTGCGGCGCCGCAGAGCGCGTCGCATGCGGCAGCGGCAAGGTCGGCGCCGGCCAGGTGCGTGGGGTGGTCCATATCGCAGTCCAGGCTGCCAAAGACGAGCGCCTCCAGTTCGTCTTCCTCATCCAGGGAGGGGCCGCAGGGCGAGGCCGCGGCGCCGCAGCCATAGGGGGACGAGACGGCCGGCGCGTGCTCGTCCGCGCCGCCGTCGGGCCAAGCTGCGGCGCACACGGAGACCGCGCCGCAGGGCGCAGCCGACGAGCCGCAGCGCTTGAGCGTGAGCCTCCGGCGGGCGCCGGCGGCGCCGGCGGCGGCGTCCGCCGAGGCGCAGGGGCGCCGCGCGGCCATCGCGCGGCGGACGGCGTGCTGCCAGAGGTTCTGCAGCTTGAGGCTGCTCAGCGGCCGCTCGAGGAAGTCCGCCGCGCCGGCGTCCACACCCTCCATCACCTGCGCCGCGCCGCAGCGCGCACCCATGAGGACGAGCGGCACGCCCACGGCGCCGGTCGCGGCTGCGAGCGCGCGCACGCCGCCGTCGCCGGCGGCGGCGGCGGTGGTGGGCAGGTCGGCGAGCACGACGTCGAAGAGGGCGCCCCCGGCGGGCGAGAAGCTGCCAGGCTGCGGCTCGCTTTGCTGCTGCAGCAGCTGCTGGCGCATCTGTGCAGGGTCGGTTGCGAGCGCATGTGCTGGCAGGACGGCGACTTCGTACCCAAGCTGCTCCAGCTGCGCGCGCGCTGCGCCGCAGCAGGCGGCGCCGGCGTCGTCGATCAGAAGGACATTCAGGCCACGCGGGAAGTCGGGGCGCCCCGGGAACAGGGGCGCAGCGGCGGTAGCGGCGGCGACAGCGGTGGGCGTGGCTCGTGCGGCCGACGCTGCGGCGTTCAGATCAACTTCACATGCCACGGCGGCTGCCATGGCTCAAGTGCCTTCGAGATATAATCAATGTTGATAATAGGTCCAGTACTGTGAGCGTTGCGTCAGGGTGGCTCAGATTTGAGTGCTGCTCTCGAGACGGACAGGCGGGGCAGGGACCCAGCAGAGCCAGGTAGGGCCGGCCGCTCTGGGCCAATGGGCCGCGACCATCCGATGGAACCCTCGACAGCGTTGGAGGAGTGCATGCGAACAGGCTGTTCCGGCTGCTCGTACAACGGACTGGCATCCCTCTCGGAGCCGCCCGGCCGCCCACGGACGTCCTGGCAGCGATGCAGCAAATCATTGCATAACTCTAGGAGCAGCCGGCCACACCTGCGCGGAGCCGTCGCCAAACTGGCCCGGGGTGATGATGGTCCGTCTCTGTGAGTAGTGCAGCCCTCTCATTCGTAGTCTAGTCTAAACCTTAGGAGTTGGAAAGAGGCATACGGATGCACGGGGGCCACGTTATCAAGAGGCGGCGGCACTCATCAGCTCACGAGCTTCGCTTTGGCCCCTGGGCGCCTGGCCGCCCTCACGGCAGTGCCCACGAGGACGATCGCCGCGTCAGGGCCGAGGCTGCCCACAGGCCGCCCAACGATCCTGAAGGCCCGAGGCGCATTAAGAGCGCTGCTTCTGTCCCCCGCATCGTTGAGCTACGCAAATAGGCCCAGCGCAGGTTGGGTCAGCCCCTCACCTGGGTGACCCTCCAGGTAGCCGTACACCCCCCCCCCCACACACACACACACACATGGCCTCCTGACAACGCCACCACTCCCCAAAAGGAAAAGTATTTTGACCCACCGGACATCGCAACGCACTTATGCTGCACCTCGTGTGTGCCGCACTGTTTGGGAAGGGTGGGGGGCGCAGCACAGCAGCACACCAGACCACGCGCCTTGGGGCATCTCTTGATCAATGCTACCAACCACGTGCGGTTTTTGGTAGCCCAAACAATCACTTGTGTAATCCTGTGGGTGATTCAGATCAGCTGAACAGGACACGTGCGATATCAATGCCTGACAAGCATGTAATCTGGCTGTACCTAGACTGCTGGGTGCCCTGCCGCACTCCTACTGCTTGAGCTGAGGGGCAGCACCTCATCTCAGTGCAAAAGAGCCCCTTTGGGAACCCAGCACAGCTGTCCCTAGCTCCCTACTCCCCTGGAGGCCTCGCGACCACCCAGGTTGATGCGCTGCAAACGCCCGTTTGGTATCCCGAGCAGGCCTCTACTGCGATTCTTTGCAAATGCAGGGTCAGTGAGCGGCTTACATTGTTGGCGGCGCCCACTTCCTTCCGACCAAACTCAACAGTTTGGCGACGTGCGCTGCAGGGGCTACCTGGCAGGTGGCAGTTTGGTCGGGAGCGTTTCAGGGTGTAAATCCCCAACATAGCGCGACAAAAATATTGACAGTTGCAGCGCAGCCAGTAACATGCACCGTGGTCCCAGAAAGATGCATCCAACGTGTTGATGGCGCATTGGCCCCTATAAGTATGAGAGTGCGGCGGGTGCGCCACCTTGGGGATGCTACTCCGCCCATTTCAAATACGCTCGCCTTATGGTCCAACCCGCCGAGGCCGGTCACGATCATGCATTCATGCACCCCGCTTGGGGTTGATGACATGCAAACAGGTGCACGGACACAACACCGCCTGGAGGGCGGCCGTCACTGTCAGGAACAGGCTGTTGGGGCGCTCCCTTGAATATCAGCAGCCGATGCACTGGAGCACTGTGCAAAGTTGTAAGCCCGACCCCACCACTGCCGCATGACGTGAGGCGGCAACACGGTAGCCACACAAAGCTCGCGCGGGCCCTTTTATAATTGCTCTCTGAGCCGGGACAATTCGTGCATGGTGCCGACCAAGCGGTTGGCACGTGTGCATGCGTATGGCTTGTCAAGGCCCGCTGCCGCTGGCGGGCAAGGCTGGGTGGGCCGAGCAGCGAGCACCCTCCAATGATGTCAGCATGCTCGGCTGGCGGGGGGCAGGCAGCTAATGGGGCGCATGCGCCGCGTGAGGAGGTCTCCAATGATTTGGGAGCCAATTCTCCAAAACGCAAAGTAAGCAACTTTATGACAGGCCGGGGATGCGGGACTGAACGCTGCGGCAGTTTCACAGCGCCTCGCAAGCGAGCGTTGGGGGACCCCACTGCGCAGTCAGCGGCAGCGGGGCGCATCCGACGCGTGCGCCTTTGCCCTCCTCCCGTGACCTTTGGTCGGCTGGACCCGCCAGCTGCCGGTGGCGGGCAGGGCGGGGGGCTTTGATGAGCAGCGCTGCATTGCGTGTGAGCCGCGAGAAATCACTCTCCAAGCGCTCTCCACTGCGTGCCACAAGCATTATGAGGCGCGAGTGCGCGGCACCCTCCTACGTATGGGGGTCACTGTGCTGTGTCCGCGGGACGCCTTCGGCGCGCACAGGGTGGTGGGTTGGCAGTGGCTGCTGTCGGCGGCTGCCAAGGGTGCGCGTTTCCCTACCCCAAGGAAGCACACGAGCCGGCACCCACAGGGGAAGCTGAGGCCTCGGCGACTAAACTAAGCTGGCCGTAACGTGATCTGTGAGTGCTGGTTGACCTGAAACAGTGATGCCGTGGACTCTTCAAGGGAGGTCAGGGGAAGGGGAAAACCCTCAAGTCGCCAGTCCCCGCTGCCGCCGCCGCCGGTGCTGCAGACGCCGACGCCCCGCCCCGCGATCGTCAGCCGCATTCTTCGGCGCCGCGAGCACCGCAGGCGCCAAGCCTGCACCAGGCGCCCGCGAGAGCAGCTGGGCCGCCGCCTGCGCCGCCGGGGGCACAGCCGCGTTCATCGCCGCCGCCACAGCCGCGGCGGCGCCCGTGCCGCCCCCGCCCCCCGCCGCGGCCGGGGCGGCTGCCGACGATTTGATGCCGCCTGCAGCCGTGGCTGCAGACGCCGGTGGCGACGGGCCCGGCTTGAGCCCGTAAACCCCCACGAGCTTGGCCCACGCAGTTGCATCTTTGTATCTGCGAAGCGTTGCGGTCACAAAATTTGCATGGGAAAGCTACGTTTCAGCACGGTGCGACGGTCCCCGAAGCCGCTCGCAGCGCTCAGCAGGCATCAAGCGGCGCGATCGAGCACGGGCAGGGCAGTAGAAAACAGGCAGGGCCAAGCTGAGCGCAGCGGGACGCCGGGGCGGCGCCGCGTCAGACGGCAGGGTGACCCACCCCAGCTTGTACAGGAAGTCTGTCAAGTTTCCGTCTGGCGGGATGGCTGTCGCCTCCATCCAATCGACACCGGCCTCCAGGGGTATGGGGGTGTACAAGTTTGGTGCTATGTCGACGTCCAGCGAGGCCGCCTCCGCGGCCGCAGCCTTGAGCGCGGGCTGCGGCGGCGCGTACGCAAGCGCGGCGGCGGCGATGGTGGGGCCGCGGGGGCCGAAGACCTCGGAGAGTGACGTGCGGACGTCACCCTGACTAAGCTTGAGCATGATGCTGTGGAGTTTGGAGCCAGTTGGGAGGCAAAGGGGTTGGGGGGGCGCCAGTGAGTGGGCCGCCAGCGGGCGAGGGCTGCAGGGAGCCAAGAGAAAGCAAGGCAGGAAAGGGGCAAAAAGGCCACGAACAGCGTGCGGCGGCCGCCGTCATGCCAGCGAGGGGTTGCGGGGCTGCGCACCTGAATGCAAACTTCAGGTCTGGGGAGGGCCCCACGTCCGGCGCCCTGAACGCCGAGACGCGCAGGCAGAAGGACACGCCCGGCGCGCAGGGCGGCTGCTTCTGGGAGAACCAGCCGCTCTCCACGCCAAGGCCGCTGCGGAGGGCGCGAGTGGCGGCAGCGTGTGTGTGTGTGGGGGGGTGTCTGTGTGTGTGTGTGTGTGTGTGTGTGTGTGTT